AAAGAAAAAAAAAGGAAGAAAAAAAGGGGAAAAAAAAGGAAAAAAAAAAACAGGAAAAACGAAAGAAAAGTGTTAAAACAAACAAAATGCAGTTGCCCCTGCCGCACCACATCGCAGATGGGGACAACGAAAACAAACCAAACAGTGGTGCGGGCAGGGCGACTGACGGTTGGACCCTTCACAGTGGGAAACCCCCCACAAGATCCATGACAACACCCATGGGCATAAACCCCTGGGGAACGCAGGGCGACCGATGGCGAGACCCTTCGCAGTGGGAAACCCCCACAAGATCGATGACAGCACCCATGGGCATAAACCCCTGGGGAACGCAGGGCGACCGATGGCGAGACCCTTCGCAGTGGGAACCCCCCACAAGATCGATGACAGCAACCATGGGCATAAACCCCTGGGGAACCCACACCCTGAACACTACTACAACACCCCTCTCGGACTTCTACATTCATACGATTTTTCAGAAGCCATTGGCGCCATGCTCACACAAAGAACGCACGAAGACGGTTGTAAACATGGCCAGGTTCATTCTAGCATAGCACCAGCATAGCAGCCATGGGGCCTGGGACAGAGGAATGCGCAAGCTGTGCACCATCCTACAGAATGGTGTCCATCGAAGGAGTGCACGAGCGGACGAGGTGCACAACAGGATAAGGTGGAAAAAAGTGTGGATAAAGTGCAAAAGTGGATATGGTGCAAAACAAAAAGTGGATAGGGTGTAAAAAGTTGACAAGGTGAAAAAAGTGGATAAGGTGCGAAGCGTGAATAAAAAGGTGCAAGATGTGGACAAGGTGTGGAAGTGGATAAGGTGGAAAAAGTGGACAAGTGCCTTATCCACGTGTGCCTTCCTCATGACATCGAATGTGTACAAGTCGATAACTCGTGCCCTTTTTCTTTTTTTTCTTTTTTTTTTCTTTTTTCTTTTTTTTTCCTGCACGTCTGATTCTCCAAGGGTAACATCCACTTGCGCAGACACACACACACCTGTCTCTTATACACATCTAGATGTGTATAAGAGACAGACGTAAGGGCAAAAAACAATGGGACTCGCTCCACTACACAACACTCCGGACTGTATGTATCTGGCACTCACCATCATCCCGATACATTCAAAATGTTGGACTTCTCTACGAATGCACCTGTTCCAGAAGGCGTCCAAATGTATGTAGAATATCGAATAGTCGAGCGAAGTCCATAGCCTAGCAGGATCCCCACAGTTGGGAGAATATTCGCAAACATTGCCTCCCTCTCTCAAAAGATGCCTATGCTGACAGTGGCGCTTTCCACCCGGGGAGATTCCTCTGCAAAGGTGAAGGGGGGTTGGTGGGGGGGCGGGGCATGGAGAGGAGGGGGGAGGGGGGGGTGCATTCCGACGATGGCAGCTTCTGGTGGGGGGACTTCAAAAAATGCTCTGCACGGGAGTGCTGGAACGGGCCGGGGGGCTGTTGGGGGCAGTCCGTACGCTGTCCAGATTATAAAATTGAGGATGACGATGATGATCTGCTTCCAGAAACGGCGGTTCCATCAGGAAATGGGGATGGAAGTGATGAGAGACTTGAGTGGACTCACAAGGATGGTGCCAGGAGGTAGCACACAAACACACACACACACACACACACACACACACACACACA